TTACCCAAGACGGGCCTCTGCTTTGTTTATAACCCTAAAATGAGTTAATTACTGAGCTTCTTACTGCGTGAGAAACCAGTTGGTCACCGAGCTGATGGGATGACAAGAAGTAGTTAAGCACCTCAAGGTTCTCTCATACGTCAAAGTACGTATCCCTGTACCAATTGGGTCAGAGCTGTGGCTGCTTGAAAGGAAGTCCATGTCATCCTCAAGAAGTTGGCAAACTTAAACTTTTTCTGTCCTGAGATGACTCGATATTTTAAAAGGACAATGTGAGGAAGGGTATCCCTACCCAAACGACCATGGAGGAGCTCACGCCTGCCCAGAAATGTTTTGCTGACTCTGCAAAATTTAATGCACGTGTCCAAAAGGGCTCTTGCTTGGGTCATCCTGAAGGATATGGAAGCCCAGGTGGAGTTATGGATTAGGTAGGCAGAATAATGATAATCTTGGGTGTCTAAATAATGGGTGAATGTCCCCAGTAAAGGTGTGCTAGATTTGTGGATTTGCACCTACCACCTGACGTCGAATAAAGCAGTATCTCCTCTCGAAACTGCTTCTGGGCTCCAGAGCTTTCGTTTCAGGTAACACTGGCTTCAGCACCTTAGGGTGATGGTTAAAATTTAGTTCAAGTGGCACAGCTTCTGGCTGTAGCTTGGGGTGGTTAAAACTCCAGCACTTGGCTCTGGAGTGGAAACCAGAGATTAACGTAATCAATATGAAGAATGTAAGTGCCTTGCTGATGCAGAAGTCTTACCAAAAACTCTTTTGATCGTTCTCCCTTTTCCCCATAGCATATACACTTCAGGTAGTCCACAACATGGAGGGAGATGAGGTGGTTGAACCTTGGCTCTTGTGGTATTGGTGCAGTCGGTTGACTTTACCCCGGCACAGGGTGTGAGTGTTGCTCTCTGCAGTGTGGCTCGGACACCTCTCGGGCAGATATCTGTCTGACCCCACAAACTGCCCATTAGAGTCCCATAAATGGGCCGTAACCACAGCTCCTGGGCTGAACTGGGTGCTACTGGTCAGCAGCAGGACAGGTCTGCATCGGTGCGTGTTTCCTATCTCAGTCCTTTGGTGCTGACCTCAGCAGCCTCCGCACCAGTGGAGCCATCGATGGGAAATTAATTTCCTTAGAATGGGTGAAAGCCAAGCCAGGTGCCTTCTCTTTAAGAGCCTCAGGAAGAAAAGTGTGGCCTGAAAAAGCAGTGTTTCCTAGGCTATCCATTGGAAAGTAGCCCTTGGAGCCTGATGAAGTTCAACAAGGGCAAGTGTAGGGTGTTGCACCTGGGGAGGAATAATCCCGTGCACAAGGACAGGTGACCTGCAGGAGAGCAGCTCTGAGGAGAAAGACCTGGGAGTCCTGGTGGACAACAGGATGCCCATGAGCCAGCAATGGGCCCTTGGGGCCAAGAAGGCCAATGGCATCCTGGGGTGGATCAAGAAGAGTGTGAGCAGCAGGTGGAGGGAGGTCATCCTGCCCCTCTGCTGTGCCCTGGGGAGGCCCCATCTGGAGCACTGGGACCAGTTCTGGGCTCCCCAGTTCCAGAAGGACAGGGGACTGCTGGAGAGGGGACAGCAGAGGGTACAAAGATGATGAGGGGCCTGGGGCATCTCTCTGATGAGGAGAGGCTGAGGGACTTGGGTCTGTTTAGTCTGGAGAAGAGAAGGCTGAGGGGGGATCTGATCAACACCTATAAATCCTTCAAGGGTGGGTGTCAGGCGGATGGGGCCAGGCTTTTTTCAGTGGTGCCCAGGGACAGGACAAGAGGGAATGGACACAAACTTGAATGTAAGAAGCTCCACCTAAAGATGAGGAGGACCTTCTTTGCTGTGAGGGTGGCAGAGCCCTGGCAGAGGCTGCCCAGGGAGGTGGTGGAGTCTCCTTCTCTGGAGACATTCAAACCCCACCTGGACACGTTCCTGTGGGACCTGCTCTGGGTGGCCCTGCTCTGGCAGGGGGTTGGACTGGATGATCTCCAGAGGTCCCTTCCAACCCCATGGCATTCCATGATTCTGTGTGATTCTGTGACTATGGTTGCTCTTCAGGGTGCTGTGGGAACACAAAGTTATTCTTCTCAGAGCGGAGCCATGGATCAACTGATGCCATTAGTGCCTTCTTGTGAGGAGATGTGATCCTGTGACTATGGTTGCTCTTCAGGGTGCCGTGGGCACACAAAGTTATCCTTCTCAGAGCGGGGCCATGGATAACCTGATGCCATTAGTGCCTTCTTGTGAGGAGAGGATTCTCTCGTTGCTCAGAAAGCCTAATTGTGTACTTTATTTGAATGCCTATGGCTTTCCTTGCAGCAGAAGCTAAACAACGTCATCTGTCGGCTAAGTGCCTGTTAATGTAGGTGATGGCTCAAGCACTTTTTTCTTCCTGGTGAGATTTTATAACGTTTTTCATCATTTATGTATATCAGACTTATTTAAATTTCTCAGGTTCTGTTCTGAAGGTACTTTAACCTCTGGGCTACAGGTTCTTTTAATTTGAAGTAGGATCTAAGAAGGGAGGAACCGTCCTGTTATTCATACTTCAGTTAGAAATCCCTGATCTTCAGCTTCTTAAGTCTCGTCTTCCAGCCAATTCTATTACAATTTACCTAAGCAATGAATTCAATAAATGAGTTAAATATCCTTGACTGAAATTGTGCTTGCACTCCACTAAGCCTTTAAAGTGCTGGAGATGCTTTTCTGGGTCCCTGCCGTATGGAGCGTACACCCTCAGCTGTAGTTGCTAGAAACCGAACAACTCGCGGTGTCAGAAAACAAAATTTTAAAATGCTGAGCTTATTATCTGGGGATAAAACCATTAAGTCCATGAATCTGGAGTTGGGAGGAGGAGAAACGATCTATAAGCCTTAGAGGGAATGGCTGTTCTTTAGGTTCCTCACTAACTGTAATGAAGGAAATAACCCCTTTCGCCAAGTCACTGAAGTTGGATGGTTTCCAGGTTGGGTCAACTTTGACCCATGTCCAACTGCTGTTGTAAACCTTGACAGGGAGGGACACCAGTAGAGGTTTTTCCTTCTGGGAATGTATTCTTGATTTCTTCTCCAAGGTTGGCTCTTTTTTTTCATCGTTTGGACCCTTTGCTTTTCTGTGTGTGGATTTGTTTCTCTAGCAAAACTGGTACTCACGCTTCCCTAATAGGGGCTGGATGGGAAGTGCCAAAATGAGGTGACACAGACACTTGGCTTCCTCAGTAAAATTCACCGGGGCTGAGGGTACAGCAGCTGGAACTCCATTTACTTGCCAGAGCATCCTGTGCTGTGTACAGTCACGCACATCCTTACCGCACCAGAGCTGTGGCATCTTGCAAATAAACCTTGAAACCAAGGTTAAATAAATGTACATATACGTACCATCAGAGAATTGTCCAGGTTGGAAGGGACCTTGTACATATACGTACCATCATAGAATTGTCCAGGTTGGAAGGGACCTTTAAGATCATCAAGTCCAACCATCAACCTAACTCTGATGAAAACCATCACTAACCCATGTCTCTAAGCACTATGTCAACCCATCTTTTGAATACCTCCAGGGATGGTGCATCAGCCCCTTCCCTGGGCAGCCCATTCCAAGGCTTCATAACCCTTCACATGGAAACATTTTTCCTCATCTAAAATCTGAACCTCCCCTGGTGTGACTTGAAGAGTCAGGGGCATGACTGGATCTTTTAACCCCTTGCCTGGCCATTCGAGCTCAAATAGGACCTTCACTGACAGCTTCATCACTTGTTAATTACATCCCCCTTATTTTAGAGCTAGCAGGCACAGAACCTGAAATGGTTACAGCATTTCCGAGCTGTTATTACTCAAACAGAAATATTCTGGCTGCTGTTTGCATGCCAACTGTTACGGGCGATCTGCAAGCGGTGACTAATCAAGTTATCTCCAAACACGTCTCCTCCTGATGCCCTGAAGGGAAGTTATGGCTGAATCCCAGGGCCGGACAAACACCTCCGTCTGCTCTTGAGTTTCACTCGGGTAGAGGTTGACCTGAGAGCTGAACCAAACACTCTCAGTTGAGTTTTCTGAAACATTAAACAAGCCTGATTGTTTGAGGCATATGCCTATTGGAAGCACAAACCAAGCTGTTCTGATCTGACACCAGGACAAACAGAAAAATCCAGTATATTCTGTAGCCGCTTGGGGAGTGGGAGCAGAGGGGGATGGATGAGAAGGGAGCTGGTTGAGTAAGGATGGTGAGGTGTAGGCATTGGGTTTGATGAGAAGGAAGAGGTGAGAGAGAACGGAAGTGGTGCTGAACCTTCTTGCTTCAAAAGTAGTTGGAAAAGCAGATCCTGGAGGGAGGAATTTCTATTTGGTGAGTAAACTGAGATGATCAGCTACCGGTGTGGTGAGAGCCCTGGGATAATCCATCAAACTAATGGCATGTTGAGTCACTCAGAGCTTCCCAGCATGGGGAAAAGAATCCTAGAAAGACGTGAGGCTTGACACGGATCCTATCACCCATGGGTGAAAAGGTTTGAGCTCTAGAAGCCCAGCTTGCAACTGGTGGCCGCGTTGGCCGCTCATCCTTGCTACTGGTAGTGACAGCGATCACAGGGATCTGAAATCTGGGGAGTCACTAGCAGAGACTGAGATCTTTGTGCTATTGGATGCTTACAGGCTTTAAGATGCTTTTTATTTTACTATTAAACCCCCCCCCTGTTTTAATAGTAATAACTGAGCTTTTTTTTTTTTTTTAATTAAATAACTTGGAAGTCTCTCTTCGTCTGCAAAGCTTCTGAAGCAGCGTAGTGGGCCAGGTGACTGGTGAGAGGAGGGGTGCTGGATGTGATTCTTAAAATAACTGTTAGGCTCATAACTCCTCCTCTTCCTCTCCTTCCTTACAGATGGAAAGATTTTAGTCTCCCTAAGAGATTTCATAAGTTGTACACCTATTCCAGAAACTTAGACGCGTCTCCTGGCTGGAATGAGTACTTCAGTGGGACGACTAATGAATGGTTATTTCTGCAAAAGCAGCTAATGTGTATCTGTCTGTCTTTTTCAGTGGTCACAGGAGCTACCGATGGGATTGGAAAAGCCTATGCAGAAGAGGTAAGAGTTCTTATCACTTGGAAGTGTATCTGGATCCTTGGCAAGATGTTGTGCTGTCTCAGCATGTCCTACCTCCTCACCTGATCTGAACGTAGATACCTGTGGAGAAAAGAGGTCCCTCACCTTGCCTCCCTCAGGTGACCAGACAAAAGTTGTCTCCCTTTTTGTTAGTTTTCTTTATTTGTGAATTCTGTTTTCAGCCCTTACCTTGCCCTTCAGTTTTTATTGATTTTTTTTTTTTTTTTAGCGATTACAATTATTTTAACTTTCTCAATCCTTGGTATTTCCAGGCACTGACTAAAGAGCATTTCTAGCTGCCTGCACTATGGTCCGATTATTCCCTATAGTCCATGAAATCTCTGAAGCTGGGTTTTACTTCTGTCTCTTTTACTGTACTTTTCCTCTTGATGGATCCGTGGGCTCCAAAGAGGGTGCTGGAATGTATCGCTTCAGACAGAAGGTGCCTGTTAGTATGGGGCAATTTAGCCTGTAAGCCCAGAGAACATCATGACAAATAGTGCTGACTATGACAACTTAGAGCAAAAATAACTTTCTACTCCAGCCATCAGTATCAAAAAGATCCTGTCTGTACTCATTTTTGTGTTCTCTGAAACACCAGTGTGACTGCCCCATCCCTGGAGGGGTTCAAGGCCAGGTTGGATGGGGCTTGGAGCAACCTGGTCTGGTGGGAGGTGTCCCTGTCCAGGGCAGGGGGTTGGAACTTGATGATCTTTAAGGTCCCTTCCAACCCGAACCTTTCTATGACTTTGTGTGAGGAGATCAGCTGTGAGAGATTCCCTTTTTCTGGATTTCTTTTTGCTTTTGTTCTGCGGAGGGGAGGGTAGTGTTCATCTTGACGGGGTAGTCCTCATCCTTCGGATATCGCTGACGTCCCTGGGTGCCCTGTCACCCCCACCCTGAGCCCCTAGGTTCCTTTCTGCTTTGCAGAAGTCCTTCTTGGGTCAAGGAAAGCTGATCACAGGTGTGAGATCCTGCTGAGAAACACTTGACTGTTTCAGCTTCTCTGCTGTAGGCACAGATCACCCCAAAAGCACCCCAAAGGGTACAAATATTCATCCTTGGGCTATAGAATAAAACACATTTCTTCTTTTGTTAAAAAAAAGTATTATTGTTATTTATTTATTTAGAATAAAACACATATCCACCCTTTGACAGTTTATGGGGATGAAGAATATTTGATAAAATTGAGTGTGAATGTGGGGTGAAATGTGGAATACTTGAAAAGGCTTCTGAATCACAGAACCACAGAATGCTATGGGGTTGGAAGGGACCTCTGGAGATCATCCAGTCCAACCCCCTGACAGAGCAGGGCCACCCAGAGCAGGTCCCACAGGAACGTGTCCAGGTGGGGTTTGAATGTCTCCAGAGAAGGAGACTCCACCACCTCCCTGGGCAGCCTCTGCCAGGGCTCTGCCACCCTCACAGCAAAGAAGTTCCTCCTCATGTTTAGGTGGAACTTCCTATGTTCAAGTTTGTGCCTGTTCCCTCTTGTCCTGTCCCTGGGCACCACTGAAAAAAGCCTGGCCCCATCCTCCTGACACCCACCCTTGAAGGATTTATAGGTGTTGATCAGATCCCCCCTCAGCCTTCTCTTCTCCAGACTAAACAGACCCAAGTCCCTCAGCCTTTCCTCATCAGAGAGATGCTCCAGGCCCCTCATCATCTCTGTAGCCCTCTGCTGTCCCCTCTCCAGCAGTTCCCTGTCCTTCTGGAACTGGGGAGCCCAGAAGTGGTCCCAGTGCTCCAGATGGGGCCTCCCCAGGGCAGAGCAGAGGGGCAGGATGACCTCCCTCCACCTGCTGCTCACACTCTTCCTAATGCCCCACAAAAGACCATTGGCCTTCTTGGCCCCAAGGGCCCATTGCTGGCTCATGGGCATCCTGTTGTCCACCAGGACTCCCAGGAAATCTTCCATTTTACTCTCGAGATGTCTTCAGAAGTCTGCCAGTGGAGGCTTGACTTGCTACTAGGAAATGCCATCAGGTTGCTATAAATGCCACTGGCAAACAGCTGCCTGGGCACTGATGGCTGTGATTACTGCCTTCTCCTTGGAGGAGTGTGTGAGGAATGTATGGCGTGTTGAGAATCACCTCTTTGAAAGTTGGACGTGGCCACCAGCAAGTGATGGAAGAATGTTATGAGTTTGTGGATTCTCTGGTTATGCTCTGTTCTGCTGGTTACTTCCCTTATTTTCCAAACAAAGAGGCATTTTTACACTTCTTAGTCTTGCAGTATTATGATCTTTATTCCTTACTCAGCACTAATGTCCTTTTCATCACTAGACTACCCCTTCATGAAGGGTAGGGTGCCATAGTATATATGAGTTTTCTTCTCTGTTCGGGTGATGCTCACCCAGTCTTTGTTTCAATGCAACGTGCTTTTATTTTTCCTTTTTTTCTTTAAAGGCTGTGGTCAGGCGTTGCTATTTGTTGCCTCTTTCTTGCTGTTTTCTGTTCACTTTTGCGAATCCTGAATTTAAATTTAATCTCAGATGTATTTTTGTGCTATTGATAAACTAGAGGTTGTGATCCCGTTGCGTGCTCTGCTACGCACATCTGCTTCATATCGATTTTTTGTAGATCCTCTTGCTATACCTTCTCTAACAAGAGCTTTAACTCTGCTTTGGTGGGCTGTCAGCGACACCCCTTTCCATCTTGGAGAGAAAGGGCTTTAGCAGCAGCTGTGTTTTGCTGCCAAAGTGGAAAATGTGGTAGTTACTAAGGTGGGATTTGGGGAAATCAGCTGCCTGCATCCACCGAGTCCGTTT